CTTTCTCTCAAAATGAGGTACACAAAAATGAAGCCCTAAAATAATTTGAAGTGCCATGACATTGTTGAGTTTTTTAAGCCGCTTGACTCCTAATTTACATGAAGATTGGCTATGTTAAGGTATTCTGAATCTGATAGCTAACTGATGTTGTTGTGTTGTTGGTATCCGAGTAGACTTATACGAAGTTTAGTTGATAAGATGGTTTTTTGATTGTGGACCAGTTTGAAAGTGGAAAATTGGTATGGTTCATATAAACACTGCTCAATATATCATCAAATGAGGGTTCAACTCGAACAGAAAAGTCAATGTGTGCGACTTGACTTGTATGACAATAAGCTCACCCAGAAAAAACAAAAATGAGTGATTCAACCACAGCTACGCCCATACCAATTCCGGTCTTGTCATGCTTTTCCTTTTCAAATATGCAATTAACTTAAGGACTATTACTTTACATAATCTACATATATTATGATTTATAATTGGCTTTTTTTTAATTACCAAATTTAATGTATAACTCACTGCTTATAATTTCTTGCATCTTTTATAGTGACGTTCCAGTTAAAAATTCTTATGGAATTTAAGGTCCTGTGTTTATTTCTTAATTAATTTTCCCCTCTTTTCTATGCCTCTTCGTAGACTTTACATGTTTAAATTTCAAGAATATAATACTTTTATTATTATATTACTGAGAATCAAACTCCAAAAGGTTTCATAGTAGTTATCAAGTAATATTCCAATTATTTAAGCTTCAATATTTCCAAGTTTGACTGGTTCTTGCTCAGAAATTTACATGCCAAATTAGTTAAAGATGATACAACTACATTGAAAAATGAAAATAAACTAGAGTTTCAACAGAGTAATTGAGTTTATATATGAATGCTTTTTAATTTATTGGTCAAATAATTATTCAAAATCATCAAAAAGAAAAATGTCCTGTCGGAGTTGGGAGGGCCATCTTAGGTAGACTCAGTTTGGAAATATATATGCACCATGGACCTCACCAACCACAGTGACTGCGTCAAGTTTTACAAGTCATACATCGAGTTAAACGTCGACATATAATTAATGAATTCTCTAATTTATTAATTAGCAAGTTACTAATCAGGCTGATCGATCATAGAATTAGGGCATATTTATATATAACTCATCTCAAGAAAGGAATTACTCATTGGTTTCCCATNTCAGAAATTTACATGCCAAATTAGTTAAAGATGATACAACTACATTGAAAAATGAAAATAAACTAAAGTTTCAACAGAGTAATTGAGTTTATATATGAATACTTTTTAATTTATTGGTCAAATAATTATTCAAAATCATCAAAAAGAAAAATGTCCTGTCGGAGTTGGGAGGGCCATCTTAAGTAGACTCAGTTTGGAAATATATATGCACCATGAATCTCACCCACCACAGTGACTGAGTCAAGTTTTACAAGTCATACATCGAGTTAAACGTCAACATATAATTAATGAATTCTCTAATTTATTAATTAAAAAGTTACTAATCAGGCTGACCGATCATAGAATTAGGGCATATTTATATATAACTCATCCCAAGAAAGGAATTACTCATTGGTTTCCCATGATTAATTAGTCCCGTTAAATTTTTAATTTCCTTCGATATTTATATATATTTTTAATGAAAAAATCGATCCGCAAAGAACATAACTAAAGCATATGATCCAAACAGGAAGATTTAGGTGATGAATTCTATATATATATAAATCGAGATATGGAACCCCCATTTTACTATATGCCGATCATCCTCCTTCGCTCACACGAAAAAGATAAGTTATCGACAGGACTAAAGTCAATGTATACGACAAACACCATTAAGATATAATTTATTTAATTTATATATTATTTGCACGTTGTCCTTTGCGGAATCTGACGTCAATATGTAACTTTGTTTCCTAATACTGGGTTTCTTTCTATATTTTCTCTAGTCTACTGCAGTGTACACACCTGTTGATAATATTCTGCAAGTTAATTAAGCTTGCACGTATGTTTTAATGTTATAAAATTATGTGTTGTGAATCACAAGAAGTTTCTTTGAGACCTCGCCTGCGTTATGATTGGATAACTAAATAAATAATCTTGTATAAGAGACAAATCTAATGAAAGCTTCTGTTTTGTGTTTATGCAAGTATCAGTCTTTTTATCCTGATTAATTTTCTACTTGGTGACGCTTCTATTAATCGGTCCTATAAATATATAATAATAAGAAATTTTAAAGGAGAGAAGATTCATGTATTGGTAGAATGTAAAACAAACTTCCGTCAGTTCTCATGTTATACCTTTCACACCATTGATAAGGGCTTACACAGAGATACTTTTTCACTTGCTTACAGTAATTTTGTAAAGAGCTTCTTTGTTTTGTAGCTTGTAGTATCTTCTTCTTCTTCTTCTTCTTTCTCTTTCTAATTAACCCTAGTTGGGTTTCTTTATGGTTTAGCTTTAAGGGGTTGAAAGAGATGCATCAAGACATGTTCACAGCAGGTGAAACATGAGACGTTTCATCATATGATCTTAAGCTATATATAAAAGTCCTAAGGATTAGGTAAATCTAGGTAGTTAATTGCGTTTAGTTAAAATAAGTTGAATTTCAAACATAAACAAATATATAAAATAAATAAAATAAAATAATAGACATCTTATCCAAATTCCTTGGAGTCTGATATCCACTGATTAATATTGTCACAAGTGGAATATATAATAGACCTGTAATTGGATAGCTTGGGTCTACATAAAAACACTTTAAAAATCAAGCTATAGTGATGAGTGCTTACCATCATANACATGAGAAGTTTCATCATATGATCTTAAGCTATATATAAAAGTCCTACGGATTAGGTAAATCTAGGTAGTTAATTGCGTTTAGTTAAAATAAGTTGAATTTCAAACATAAACAAATATATAAAATAAAATAAAAAAATAGACATCTTATCCTAATTCCTTGGAGTCTGATTAATATTGTCACAAGTGGAATAGATAATAGACCTGTAATTGGATAGCTTGGGTCTACATAAAAACACTTTAAAAATCAAGCTATAGTGATGAGTGCTTACCATCATAATTCGTAAGCAGGCTACAGTTAATATATCCCAATTCAGGTTTCTACCTGATAATGTGATATCTCCTGATATTCTGAATTTTTTATTCTTAGCTCATATATAAACCTAGGCATTTCCTTATGCAGTAATAAAAATGCTAGTCAATATATTAGTTCTTCCAATGCATTAATTTTCCACATCTCTTTGTCAATGACCAAGCTTTTTGGTAATCTTGAAGAACTTTCTGTGGCAATAAAGAGATTATATCTACTCACAGAATTGTGTGGTTGACACTCAGTTACTTACAGCTAATTGGAATTTAGTGCTTTCTCTTGGCATGTTTGCGGATGATTTGCAAAACGAAAACGTGGCCAAGACTCAGGATTTTGCTTAAGGCCAAATTTTTTATCACTACCCATTAGCTGTAAGGGTAAAAATCTTCAAGTATGCAATTTCCAAGCACTTCCCTTTGAACAAGGCAATTGTTGTTTGTGTGTATATATATATACAACAAGAACCAAAAAAATACAAATTACGGGTCTATTCTTTGAATCAACAACTGCAGCAATAGCAGTAACCTCTGGTGCAAGGAACAGCTTGCTCATAAGTTTTTATTACTTATTATCTAAGAATGACTCATATGGGTGACCTCAATCACTAATCAAATAATTAATATTAGGTTTCCGGATGTCCTACAAGTAATTATGAACGTCAACTCAGGTGGGCTGACTACCCTTTAATATCATGACTTATTATAACATAATAAATTACACATAAACATCGTTTAGGAGACTAGGCCCACAGCGGAACTGCAACAAAACACAGCGTGGAAAATTCAATATCATTAAGACATTAACCACCGTTGGGTGGCCTAATGGTATGGAGGAAAAGAAGATTTAACATAACCTCATAAATTTGAGTCTCTTTAATAATAAAATAATAAAATAATAATTTAACATGATTTCTCAGGTTTGAGTCTTCTCAAATGTAAAAGATAAGGATCTAACATGGTTTCTTGAGTTCGAGACTCAATGATTGCTAATAGGAGTGATTATTGAAGTTTATAGCCAGTTGATAGTTTCAGGGTCCTAAAAGATTAGTTAAAATACGTATAAATTGATCTGAACAATTCAAATCGTAGAACGAAAAAATCAATATCATTTAGAATGCTTCTAAACAAGAAGCAACTTTTCTCATACTTATTGCTTGTAGCATTGAATAGTATGAATGGGTGTGTAAGCTCTTAATTGTAACAAAATTTTGATGGGCTTAGTCATTTACAATTTGTATCTGGGCCATAACTAAAATAAGGAGGCAAATGCTTACATACCCATTTTTCAATCCAATTTAATTGTGGGTCGAGTTCAAGTAACACTTTTGTGTTTTGTCTGGTACCTTTGCTCAATGGCCTCGATGTCTAGTAGGACAAAACGAATAATATGGAAGTTGGGTCTAGGTGGGGGATCAAATAACCCCTCTTATCTCTTTCAGGTATTGTATTTTTCCTCAAAACTTGAATGGTCTGCTTGCATCTAATTATCTGTCACGTTTTGCAAAAGACAAATGGTTTGACAACACGTTTTCACACAAGTTTTGATGCCTTTTTCCTTTTACTGATTGTTGCTCATTTTAGCCTTAGCTTTTGGATGGAAATGTTTGTGGTAACCTCAGCATTTTAAGTTCCATTGGGTCAATCGTGGCTGGTTTACTTACCTCCTCTTGTGTTGTTCTCCGCTGCCAGTCAAGTTGCGGACATTCTACCACCAAATTTCTTTTATACGGTTCATTAAATTTCCTTCTAGTCATCAAATTATCACCACATGAAGATAAAATAAAAAGGGTCCCCGCCCAAGTTTGCACCACAAAAAATACATTTAATTCACAAATTGAATTTTCGTTAAAGATGTTTTCATAAGGCTAATAAGTATACAACGTATGCATATGCAGTATTCCTGGAGCTTTCAAGAGTAATAAAAAGCCACAATTAAAACACATGATAGTTGACACAACCTGAACATCTGTTTTCCTTTTCACTTGTTGATTTGTTATCTTCTTTGCTTACTTAACAATGGCCATCACTTTTTTCACATTTTCCCCGGCACAATCTAAACCTTTTCTTCAATCACAACCATATAGTTTTAGTTCAATCAAATGTTGTCAAAACAGTACAGCTGAAACTGTTAATCTTTCTCAAAATGGGCATGTCAGTTATCCGGAAAAAACTCTTCATATGCCTCCGGCTAGTATTCCTCCTCCACGGCCTTGCCGGATAATCCTGGTTAGACATGGAGAGAGTGAAGGAAATATTGATGAAAGTGCTTATACTAGAATTCCTGATCCAAAGATTGCACTCACAGACAAAGGTAAGGATCAGGCTGAAGAATGTGGAAGAAGAATTAGGGAGCTGATTGAGAAAGACGGAGCCGATGACTGGAAGGTTTACTTCTATGTGTCACCATATAGAAGGACTCTCGAAACATTACAGAACTTGGGTCGTGCATTTGACCGCTCAAGAATTGCTGGCATGATTAAAGAACCTCGAATTCGAGAGCAGGATTTCGGTACATATATTTAAAGCAGAATTTCAATAAAACAATAACTAGCCAATTATTTTACTGAACAAAATCTGACAACTTAATGGTGTCATCAAAAGGGAACTTTCAGGATAGAGAGAAAATGCGAGTTGAGAAAACCATTCGTAGGCTTTATGGTCGTTTCTTTTACCGCTTTCCTAATGGCGAATCTGCAGCTGATGTTTATGACAGAATCACAGGTAAACTTATTTATGCAACCATTTATTGGTTAATATTCTCTTTCAGATTTTTAATACTAAGAATTGAAGATGTAAACAGGATTCAGAGAAACACTTAGAGCGGCTATTGATAATGGAAGGTTTCAACCACCAGGAGAACGAAGCCAAAATATGAACTTGGTAATTGTTTCCCATGGTCTCACATTACGTGTGTTTCTGATGAGGTGGTACAAATGGACAGTTGAGCAATTTGAAGGGCTTAACAATTTGGGCAATGGAAAAATGATGGTTATGGGACAAGGCTCTGGTGGAAGGTATTAATCCTTCGCACCTTCAGTCATTTATATCTAATCGTTTATTGTCTTTAATTAAAACCTTCATTTGTGACTTCTAATTACACAGGTACAGCTTATTAGTACACCACACCGAAGAAGAGCTGAGAGAGTTTGGACTGACAAATGAAATGATAATGGATCAAGAATGGTATCAAACTAATGCCATTTTAGTTTCGAAGTAATTAATCAGATATTTAATTCCTGTTTAGTTATAACTTGGGTTTTTGTTGGCTTATTACTCTAGGCAAAGTTATGCAAAACCCAGAGAAATAAACTATGAGTGCCCATTGGTGAATTCTTTCTTCACTCACTTTTGATGAAGACGGCTCCCAAGTTTAAGGGAAGGTTTATTATTCACCAACATATGTATATCGCCATAGAAGACAAGACAGAAGCTCGTCACCAGACAGACAGGATTCTAACTGGTAGATCATTTTACCTGAAAAATCAAGAACGCTATCAACGGAATATGGCGTCCAATCCAATGAAGCTATATTATAAATGCTAGATGATGGAAGTGAACAATCCATAATAAATTCATATTGTAGAAAAGTGGGTGTGGCATACCGTATACAAATGCAGAGCATGACAATGGCAAATATTCTGTTTCTCCTTCTTGTGTGTACGGTGGTGATAGAAAATTAGAAATACAGTTGAAAGCTATAAATCCTTGATGATGTTTTTATTTACACAAATATTATAAGGGGAATGGTTCTGTCGACAGGCTGAGCCTAGATATGTTTTGTTTGATCACCAGTTAACATAATCAGTAATTCAGTATGCATATCAGGTTGACTGAGCCGGGCCAGTGAAATAACGGCTGGACAATTTTTTGAGTTTAACAGTTCAAGGGTTAAAATTTGGATAATCCATCATACATATCCTTCGATGACCAAAAACAAGAAACATTAAATTCACTTGGCAAAACTAGTACAAAAATAAATTTTACTTTTCATTGATTTGATCATATTTCAAGGGCCAGCAAAAGGTTACATCACCCATTGGCCATAAAGAAAAAATTTATATATAGTGTAAAATGAAGGGGAAAAAGGGGTAACCACTTGATCTCATCAAAACTCAAAAAAGGGAAATCACAGTAGAAAATTCAAATCCGTCAAGTGATGGTCCTGAGATGAGATGCCTGCCTTCTGTAAATGAAAGCACTACTTCATCAAGTCCAGCATATGATATTTCTTCTACCTGCCGCTGCGCCCAATTTGAAGGAGTAAAAAAATCGGCACTAGTTACAGAGTCAAGAAGGTCTTCTCCTTGAAGCTATATCATCATCGTTTTCCCGCATCCCAAATGATTTTGGATTGACATTATATTTTCCATCCCTTTGATATGTGAATGGGCCTCTCTCTTCTCTAAATCTTCTCGGCCCTTCCCCAATCCGACTCTCAATGCCCCTGCTAAATTCCCTAGGATTCCCTCTGCCATGAAAATCAGCAGCTTCCCCATAACGAGAATTACGAGCCTTCACAAAACCATCATCCAAATTATAACGGAATGGTTTCACAACGCCATCCATACCATATCGCTTTGCAGGGGGAAATGGCCCAAATCTATAACTATGTTTCTCCCTATTATCATCACTGCCCTCATACCTTACTCGTCCTCTACCGACTCCGTCCATTTCAGTAAATCTTCCAGGATGCACATATCTGTAGTTTCGCGGGGAATCAACATCAAACCTGTCATCACGGGGGCCAAATCTTCCTGGTGATCTCCTGTCTAAAACAGAAGAACGCTGATTTAAACCTTGCTCCCTAAGATGAACCACACCATCTTTCCAATCACCAATCCATCTGGAGTTATGAGGTGGGGAACCATGACCTCTATGCATTGTCCTAAATCCTACCACACGGTCTCCCAAAAAACCAGGCCGCTGATGAGGTGACTTCCCTCTTGGCATTCTTACCTCGGATCTAAAATTAGGTGATTTACTTCGATGCTTTAAATTTGGATTACCTGAGTCAGGAAAGCGAGTTCTAGATCTTGAAGGAGATTTCGATAGGGATTTACGTGCACGATCTTCACCTCTCCTTTCATTGGGTGAAAAGCTTCTCTCTCTCTTGGCTGAAGGATGGGAATGGTTCAACGAAGGTTCAGAGCAATCATCAGGCATAGGTCCATGGTATCTCCCCCTGAGGCCTCTCCCATCCACTCGAGGACCATATCTAAGAGACCTGCCTCTGCCAAGAGTAACACGCCGACCAGGACTCAGCTCTCTAGATGGTCTAAAACCCAAACGGAAACGAAATGCCTCATCCCTGTCAACTGGTGACCCACTTCTGGTAAGACGCCGATGTACACTGAGTGACGATGCATCAATCTTTTGTCTGCCAAAGGAACCATTTTCAGGCCCTGGACGACGAAAAGATGTTGGGCCATGATAATTAGGTGATTGATAGCGTTTAAGACCCCTGTGACTCTCTGCAGAATGGACCCAATGATCACTTCCCTGACCTCTTGCATGAACATGCTGATTATATCTGCCCCTACCCAGTGATTCTCTATATCCAGGATCCCTTTCAGATCTAGGATTAATGTTATCAGCATCACTGCATTCAAGAATTTAAGAAATGTTTAGCAAAAATTGGATGACATGGAATTAGCACGCAGAGTCTACCAACATAAACTGAATGAAGCAAAATTAGAGTTATAATCTGTACCTGCTTCCCTGCATGTAAGGTTTGTCATCCTCAAAATATGCATCATGAGATACTCGTCCTTCAATGTGTGATGGCAATTCCCTCCTGAACTCTGTTGGTCTGAACACCCTCACCTTGGTACCGTCAGTGTCTTGGACATCTATAGAGTCATCAGTAATGTTCTTCCTACTGCTGCCATCGATCTCTGCAGTCAATGCATCTGAAAGATTTTTGTGATCCCACCTGGATGTTTTCTCGGCTGAATCAGCTGATAGACATTGATTGTTTGTATCATCTACCTTAGAAACAACACCATCCCCAATAACCTTGTCAGCGCCTGCTTCATCACCCAGCTCAACCTCCACCTTTCCATCTTTCCCTTTCAATGGTCTTTCCTTACCAGATCCTGATGAGCCACTTAGGCAAGGCTGAAAGTCAGTTTCTTGTGTATGCTTCACAGTTTTTTCAGCTTCACAACCCAGAGTATTAGCATTGTCAGATCCATAGTCAACATGTTCAGCTTCCATTTCTTCCCCATCATAATCTTCCCAAGTATGAACAATTGATTCCCTGACCTCTCCATCTTCATACTGTGAATCATAATCTAAGATCTCACTCGACTTCACATGAGCATGATCATGAGAAACATCAGAACAATAACCATTGTCTAAAGGTTCTTCTAAGGCCATCCTATCAGAACTATTTACAAGATCATCATTATTGCTTCTACATAAGACATCATGAGAGCTATGAACAGACGGAGGTTGCAACATTTCGGTATACTTTTCTATACACTTTTTCTCAGGTTCCTCACCATCATTATTCAGTAAAGTATTAGTTTCAGCATTTTCAAGCACAGAAACGTTGGCATGGTGCACCTTTAAATCCACAGACAATGTTGGTTGAGCTTCAATTGATGCACCTAAGGTAGGTGTATCAATACCTAGAGGAGAAGAACGGGCAAAGGTCTCCAGAACACCACCAAGAGACTCTATCTTCGGTGGCTGCCCTGCCTCTACTGGATCAATATCCATAGGGACATCTGTGTCATCAGGCGAAGCAGAAATTTCCTTTGTCTCATCAGCAACTTTATCTAACACATCCCCAATCTCATTGATGGAGTTACCAGACGAAGCTATAAAAGGTGCAACCTCCAGCTTCTCAACCTGAGAATCAGAGGAATTAAGCGCACCTGCATCAGCAGCAGAGCTGCTTGCGTTACAAGTAGGCTTAGAAGGTAGATTGTTATCTGCACATGAACCCAAATTGCCAACCCCATGTGAAGATAAGCCCTCATTACTACCTGTACAGCCAAAGGAAACACTGTGGTCTGCAATATTTTTATCCTTGTTAATAGAAGCTGAGAGCCTCTTAACATCATCAGCTGGAACAAAGTCACCAGGTCCAGCATCAATACTAAGTCTTTCTCGACTCTGCAATTCTAAACTTCCCTTAGATTGATCCACCCTCACAGCATCTTCAAACTCAGAAGAAAGAACATTTTCTTCCAAGTAATCAGCACCGCCAGATTCAGCGCACACTTTTGATTTGCATTCCTCTACGTTAGATTGATTCGATGTATGAACCATTTCTGTAGCATCACTAGGTGGCATTTCCTTTTCAGCATCAGCTTTACTATCACCAGAGTCAATTTGCAATCCATGACCTTCTGAGTTTATCATCTTATCACTATGATTACCATAATCCGCATCTTCAGCAACACCATCCGCAGCATCAATCTTAGAATCCACAACTTGATAGTCAAAAGGATGTTCCCAGGAGTCCATTGACGTATTTAAATCCCAGTGCAAACGGTCATCTCTTGAAGAGAATCCCTGTTTTTGAACTGTTTCCTCAACTTTATGGATTAAGACATCCTTCGAAGTTAAATGATCCTGAACAGAAGTATCTTCCATATTGTTTCTATGCAATAGTTCACTTTCAAAGGAATTACCTTTTCTCAGGCAGGCAGCAGGTTCTTCTGCAGGCAATGCAGAAATGCAAGAACCACTTCCTTTAGTTGATTTTTCAGCAGAACTATGATCATCCTTAGAAACTTCTTTTGACAAAGAACATGATTCATTATTTGTCAAACCTTCTAAAGGAACATCGCGCACAAAAGATTCTTCAACTCCAGAACCATCCTCAGTGTGACCATCTTCCCCTCCAAAACCTTTACTGCATGCAGCAGCTGCAAGTATAGAAATACCTGAGAAGTCTTCATTTTCATCAACATGTCCTTTTACCCTTTCCATATTTGTCTCATCAGCATCACACACATTGTCAACAATCTGACCCAAGTCATTTGCAGAAGCAGAGCAATCAATTACCCCAGGTTCCAACTTGGAAGGCCTTTTCGTCTCGGTTTCCTCAGATTGTGATGACATGGCTCTAGGTGGTGGAGATGGTGATCTATACACAAATCTTCTTTTCTTAATAGGCACATGTTCTGCCTTCTCACTGAAGCGACAACCAAGAATACTCACTCCAAGCTGGAAAATAGAAAAGGAGATGATAGCATCAAGTTTTAATGTGATATTATTTCATCTTGCACATATTAGAATCATGCTTACAACAAAATTACAATGACTTTATATCCAACCTTCTCAGATTCAGAAACTGGCATGTCCACAGTTTTCGAGTACTGGTTGACAAGCTCCCCACAACGTTTCAAGCTTCTTGAAACTGACCTCTTGGCCCGCCTCAATGAACTCCTTTTACCTTTTGAACCCTTCCAAGTCAAATCAGAATTGATAAAGCTGGCAACTTCCAAACTAATTGTGCCCAGCATGCTACCAGGTGGTGACCCTCTCTCATCACCCAACGGCTTTCCACCACGGGTCCTGCAGGATGCCGTTGTAGCTTGTTTTCTTTTTATTTCAAGCTAGACGCTGAAAAACAGTGCAAGAACACAAATGAACCTTCAAGTCAAATCATGAGATAATAAATCAAGATGTGTGGTACATTTACAATATATAACAATAGGTAAAGTCATGATAGAAATATCAAGCAAATGCATCTTCATTTGAGACACCTAAAATATCATGAACTAGTCATAATAAAGATTCTCCAATACCCACCACTAAAACTCTGCTACTTGCAACATTAGATATGACTTCTTGGTATCAGATATTAAGATCAACTAGCTTATAAATTAGATCAGCACCAGCCGCAGCAACTGAAAAATATTTCAGTCTGGATATGGTAAACAGGTGATCAACCCAATCAATGATTTCCTTAAAGAGCAGAGAGGAAATTACTGGATTGTCACTATCCTTCAGGCGCAAACATGTTAATACTCAGTTGAAGGCTAAGCGCAACTCAGTCTAAAGCACTGGCAACAAACATGATCAAATCCTAAAGTTCTTAAAACAAGGCTCTTCATGACAAAGAAAAAGAGAAGACAAATTATTATTTGCAGCACAAAACAAGATATGGCGATACCATAAATCTACATCATCATTGCTGGAAGCAACCAATAGTGCAGAAACCACTTCAAACATACTCATATTCACTGTCAATAAATTCAATAACTCCAAAGTAACAAACTTAATAAGAAGTTTTCCATTTAATAGCTGCACTAAACAGGAAAATAAAGCGACGTGAGATCAAACACAACAGTCAATATTTGGGGCAACCACCGGCCAACCTAGCAGCAACTAGAAAAGCAGCCTCTGCATCTTGATTAGGAAAACCGATACATATTTCATCTTTTAAGAGGCCAACTTGATCACACAATAAATCAAGTGAAAAGTTCGCAATCCCAATAAGTGCAATGACGTATAAAGATCGATGAGGAAAACTGACGCAATTAACATCTCAAGTCAACAAGACAAGCAGCAATATTATAAGCACAGAGCAGATCATGTAGATGTGATCAACCACAGGGAAAACGAATCCCATAACCTACAAAACGAATTGGAAGACAATTTAGCCAACATGAAGGTCCCTCAAGCCCAGCATTGTGTCAATGAATCACACGCTTGAAGAAGTAGTTAAACTAAAACTTGTCTGAATCAGAAACACATACAACTCGTCCAGAAACAACCCAATACAAGGGTCTGTAACACTAAAGACAGATCTGAAGCAAGCCTTGAGTGAGAACCAAATCAAATGTTCAAAAACTTCAATAACCCAAAACGCAGCGAATTGCAATAACCAGTCAAAGTCTTCATAAACGATTTCTCAGATCTGACCACAAAAGAAAAGCAAAAAAAAACAGTTCCGAAAACCCTAATCTCGTATCTTCTCTTCTTGAAAGAGCCCCAATCAATCAATAAAAGATACAGGAATCCCGGCGGCTCGCTCATTCACAGTTGGAGTCAATCCAGAACAATAAAGAAGTAAAAAAGAAAAGAGCAAAATCGGAAAATCAAGAACTTAGGGTTTCATTTTACCTGTGAAAACACACAAACAGAAACACAAATCCAGGGCAACAATACTGAAATAGATCCCTTTTTCCGAGCTGAATAACTCCAATCAAGGCTCCAAAATCAATGACAAGAACTGGCTTTCTTTCAGTAAAATGAGACACACTTGTTCACACTGTAAGAGTTTCCTCTGCTTTATATTTTTCATATTTCAAAGGAATAAAATATATAAATTACTAATAACAATCGGCAAGTATCAATTTTTCTCTGCGGTTACCTTCAATACATTTCTTTCCAACAACACACTTGGATCCCTTCCTTTGATTTTAGGAATTCGTTTCCCTACTTCCTCTTCCCTTTTAGATTGCCTTTCTCTTTTTATTCTTTGCTTTGTACCGTCAACTCAGTGTTGCTTCACCACGTATTCATGCTTTTTTTATTTTCTATTTTACCCTTCCTTCTTTGCGTCCTCTTCCCAAATTATCCCTCCGTTTTGCTTTTTTCGCTTCTCAACAAAGTCAACAATTGCGCCCAAACAGACCTGATTACGACTGTTGGATTTCTCCAAAGTAACTACACTACAGTACAATAAAATTATATTTAAAATCCAAATTGAAATGTAATTTTGGTAGCATTGATGATTGGGTAGATTACGAAATTAGATATTTATAAGTTGTGGACCAATAGGAGATACGAACATTAAATGTTCTTCAATTCAAAATTTGAAAATTTTAATTAATGCCAGGGTTAGGGTTAAGGCTTGGGTTTGTGTATTTATGATTTAAAATATATTTTTTTAATGTTTTTTTAAGGTAAACATGTGCTTAGCCATAGTTCGTTAAGTTTATTATTCTCATAATTTTTAGAATAATTTTTTAAAAATAGTTAAATTGGATAAGTATGACGATATAAAATTTATAAATTAACAAAAATATCTTCTATATTTGTTATTTACTAAACACCCCTATAATAAAATATTAAAAATTAATAAAAATACCTCTAACCCACCTATTAAATATGGACAACCGACCATCACCGTCGGAGGGTGACCGGAGTATTTTTGTAATTTCTAAAAAAAAAAATTTGAAAATGTTTAGTTAAATTAACAAATTTAGGAGGTTTAAAAGAAATTAAAAAATATAGAATAATATTTTGGGAATAATGATATTTTACTGTTTAATTTTTTTGAAAAACTAATAATAGTATTATAAAAAACTAACCAAACGAAGTAATAGAGTTTATGAATACAACATCAACCTACCAATGGACCAAGTTTCATTGCTCCTCTTTAGAGATTATGAAAGCAAGCTTTCATTATACCTCAAAAAAGTCAAGGTTAGAGGCGATAATGGAGAAAATTATACCCTACAACCAGAGACTGGGATTGGGGTGGAGGTGGAGGTGGGAAAAGGTGAAAACCCACAAAAATTTACAGTTGTGTTTGTTTCCTTATTTCTACCGTATCCTACCCAAAATATATATTTATTTCCCTAAAAAACCAATTATATTTTATTTAATTATTTTAAACCTCTTAAGTTTATTAATTTAACTGAACACCCCCTAAAAAAAGTTTAAAAATTGACAAAAACACCCTCATTCACCTATATTTGCCAGATTTTGACCACCATCACTACAAAGGTGGTCAAAATCTGGCATAATGATGCCCTATCTACTGGATCTGACTGGTAGTGCGTCAATCTAGTATTTTTCGTGCCAAATCCACCATAGATCTGGCGGAAAATACCAAATTTACGACCAAAGATTTAGCGACCAGATCTTTGGTTGTAGCTTGTCATCAACGATGGCCAAGAGATGGTCGTCGTTAACGATCAAACGTGGCCAGATCCACGGTAGATCTGGCCGAAAAATGCCATATTGGCACATGACCGGCTAGATCCAATCGGTCATGTGCCATTACGGTGATTGCCAGCCACCCTCCGACGGTGGTGGCCGATTGCCAGCATTTAATGTTTGTGTGAGGCCGATTTTGTTAATTTTCAATGTTTTATTATAACGGTGTTTAGCTAAATTAACAAACCTAATGGGGTGTTTCTGTTAATTTTCAAATTCTACCTCGTAATAATCACTCAACTTAATTTTTTTGAAAATCCTACCTAAAATAATAAAACAAACACACTCTACTCTATCTCCTCAGTTCCAAAACTTTGGAGTGGAGGCCGAAGCTTGAGGTCAGGTAAGGAGAACGGAAATAGGACCTAGAAATTGCCAACCCTAATCCCACTTAAATGCAATAGTTCTTCATGTTTATTCATTACTAAATAAGTACCCAATATATTCTTAAAGTGAAAACTTAACAGTGGGTTGTATATTATAAAGTTTTGACGTCTACATCAAGATTTTGGTATAGGAGAATTGAGGAAATTTCTTGGTAGTGCATGTTCCATCAATAGAGAGCTGCACGGATCTTGATTGAAAATGGTGACACAAAATCATCAAATAAAATAAGTCCTGTCAAAATTGTCTCTATCAAACTTTAACATCAATTCCAGCACATGCACAAGGAAAGTTACCAGCAGGAGGTGGGCACAAGCTACCTTCATTCATTCATTCATTCAACCACCAAATTTAACATGAAAACAAACATCAAAAACCTGTTGCAAGATTGACATTTTTTTAAATGGGGTAAAAGAATCCAATTATTTTTGGAAACCAAATCTTTTAAGCAGTTTGGTTAAGCTAACTGGACCCTTAAACATGAATAATATGATAGTGGTGCTTCCCTAATCTACATTGCCTAGAACTCAAGAAAAGGATGATAAGAAAGCTTGAGAATCCTACAGCGAACTGGTACCTGTAAAGTTGAAATCTGAAACTCCGTATCCTAGAAAAATAATGAAAGAACGTTCTGTTTTTGCCTGGAAGCAAGTAAAGAACATCAAACACTAACAGGAAAACCACCAGGGAAGTTATTCTTTAGGTTACCTAAAGAGAATATGATTCACATGGCTTGATACTCTGAAGCTATTCTAAAGTTATTCTCGGAAGGAAAAGCTAGTACTAAGTATCACCTCAAAAGCAAAGTATTGGGATCACAAAACAAAAATCACAAAATGAAATAAGTTTCATTAGACTGCAGATTCACATTGGCCTCTGTCCATGAAACCATGAACTAGCAATTGTCATAACAGCAAAACACCAACTTTCATCTAGATGTGTCTGAAAAAATTCAAAATTTCCTGCCAAATATTCGGCATTCTAATAGCTCTAGCGACAAGAAGTCCACACAAAGACAAGGCAGCTCTAATAATGCCCCCAATATTTATGTAGTGGATGGAATGCATATGGTTCTCATAAGGAGAACAGGACAATAGAGGAAAACAAAATGACCAGACTTCCTACCAAAACAACAAAGAAAAAATAGCACAAGAGAAGAAAAATCCAGATATATCCTCAATGGTTATCTCATGTCCCATACAATTCCAAGATAAGAGTCAGAGGAACTGGTGAGAGAATTTATCTAAATAAGAAAATTCAAAACTTAAGACTGAGCCAAGAAATCAAACTGATGAGTGTCAATTAAACTTATAATAACATTTCCGAAAGTAAAAATAAAAATAAATACAGGTTAGTTATCTAACACCATGCATGGTAATTCATATGATTAACACCAACTGATCCAGTACCAACCCAATCCAATAAAATGGCAGTACAGCAATGAGAAATGATAATGATGGTAACTGTTTGTAATGCTTCAACTACTCAGCGGCCAAATTGATTTTTCAGAGATATCCCATATAACCTTATATAGTTACACTTAATTTCCACCATCTCATAGCTCCAAGCTTATCCATTGTCAACATGGACAGAACTGATTACAAAGCGAAGCTGAGCCCATCATTGTTGCTATCCAATCACATTTGCTGGATGCTTTAACTAGCCCTCTTGCAATAAAAACCAGTTCTAATATCTCAGACATGAACAACCAATCCTGGTTAGCCAGAATGTTCCTCTTCTTTGAGATCCACTGAATAAGACTATAAGAGTCTATATAAATATAAGATGATAACATAAGAACAGATGGACCATCCTAATAAGAAAACTAAATCCAATGCCAAAAGTATACGTGCACCAACTCAAGCGTCAAATGGACAAAACAAGCATTCTATTGAGTTTATCTTCACATATATATGTGAGTTGCATTCAGAGAATGTTCGTCTTCTTCCAGACTAAACCCGGTTATATGAAGTCAAACAGACACATGTCCACTACAGTGAAACTCAACTCCTCCAAAGAATATCCAGTCCTGGTTTAGCAAGGAAGGAGACAAAAAAGAAAAAAATTAATGTAGAACCAAGACCAAAGCAATCACAAGAAGGCAATAGATCCATTAGAGCATTATCATTTATTTCATGGTGCAAGAGGTAAATTTATGAGTTCTCAATAGTTGCAGTTGTAATTCGTAATTGCCTTGGTCGTTCCTGCTCACCATTGCGTCTCCAGAAGGCCCTCCTCCACCAAACTTCAAACCCTCTTTGTATGTTAGGACAATCCTCACCAGAGTTTAAGAATCTATTAAACCAAGCAAGCAAAATTTCCTGTTGCCAAGATAGAGGCAGAGTAAGAATCGTGTTACTAAGACCATCTTCAATTAAGTGTCGATCAAGGCCTTTGGATGCCCTCCTCATCCACCCAAAATCATCATAAAAAGGCTCCAACCAAGTCCTTAAAAGCAAGTATCTCACATCCTTTGAAGCCAATAACTGTCCTTTGCCAATTCCAACAAACAGTCTAGCAGTAACTCTGCTAATCTCATACCTATGGATGGCTGGAACTTTTGAATGTGCCTCAGATACTTCAGATTGAGAAGCCCATGTTTTTAAAAAGTCCTCAGCAATCTGCCTATCAATCAAGATATCCAAAATCCAATGCAAATTATCCGCCTGCCTGGCAATCTGTCCCACATCCTGCAAATCCCCTGTTGCCACCTGGAGAACATGCTGGCGTAGCAATTTTAAACACCCATCACAAGCAGAGTACAGTGACTCCTTTCGAAGATCATTTTGAGATGAATTTTCATGGAGCATCTTAGATACCAGCCCCTTCATTTCGCGTCTTGCCTTCTCATCTTTGCCTTCAAGAACTACATGTAAAAGCTTGAGAAGCACCTCCTCGTTGTCACTACCCTCTTCTGTTCCACCATTAACTTCAACTGAAACCCTCTTCAAAACTTCACCAGCTCCAACACCTTCAAGTCGGAGCTCTGATAACAGTGAAGCCACTTTCTCCTCTTCATCCTCAGCCCATGGTGCAGCTTCTAAGTACTCTAGACAAGATAAAACCCCCGCATCAAACCCAATCGCTGCTGAAACCTAAAAAAACACACATAAAAACCAACCAATTAAATCCCCTAAACCCCAACCCTCAATTTAGTTGCAAAAATAGTCAACAATGATCTATATAGAACTTCTAATCAAACAGTCAGAATTTTGCAATTTCAAATTTTCTCAAGAGTTGATTGCTACCCTTGTTAAGTGTATAGGAGATCTTGGTTGACTTGAATTTATAAGAAAGACAAAAAAGGATCAGTTGGTAAATCCTTTTACATGGCCTCCCTAACAAAAGGAAATATATATTAGAGTAAGAACCTTTAAACTTAGCTATATTTTCCCACAACAAAGCATAAAACCGAAACCACACTATTCACTGCACATAAAGAATCCATTTTACTAGCATGTTCCTAGTTAAGTGGAGGCTTTAAGTTAATTCAAAATCTTTGATTTTCCTTCCTTATCCTGCATACAGTTTTTAAGCAACAAAAATAAATCCTAACACTTGACCATAAGATTTCAAAAACAAGAAAACCCCAAAACATAAAAATTGACACCGAGAAAAGAAAAAAAAAAAACCAATAACTACTGCTCTTACTTGACAAAAAAAAGAAAAAAAATTTTTTAACCACTTTACCTTCAAGATACCAAGAACTTTGGAAACATCCTCTCTCATCAACTTCTTTTTAAGATCCTTACTGTACATCAACCTCAAAGTCTCAATATAAACCTCAACGTCATCACAATCCGCAATCTCCACAATGTACGGAAGATTAGTTTTCTGCTGCTGTTTTGTCCACCGATCCGATAACTTAACCGCGAAAAATCTACTATGTGCCACAATTATCTGTCTGTGCACATTGATGGACACGCTTATACCATCCTTAGAACTCAGAGTTAGTTTTATGTCACTCGACGCCGCCTCGTTGAACTGATTACCTGGACTCCTCGTCAGCAAAAGATCTGAAATTCTTTGCATTTTCAATTGCTGGCTATCAAATGTTTGTTGTTGGTAGTGACTCATTTTTGGCGGAATTATGGGGATACAGTTGTGGCTTGTTGGGATCTGGGCTTTCGGGTGAACCTCGGGTTCACTCGCCATCATTTCGAAAAGTGTCGGGCTGGAACGGGTTTTATCCGGTGGGGGCGACATCGGGTTTAAAAGACCCGCGGTTAAAGCCGAATTAAATTTGCTGAAACTTGAAGAGAATGCTGAATCTGAGGAGTGACCGTTGAGCGTTGTTGTCGTTGATGATGTTGGTGAGGTATGCGTGAAGTCCATGACTGGCGATAGACTCCCGGGAGAGAACCGGATCCTGAACGATGAAGGCGAATACGGTATTAGTATCGGGTCAGCCTCTCTTACGGGTGTACGGACGGATCTTTGCTGTTGTTGCTGTGGCTGCGGCTGCGGCGGCGTTGGTGGAGGATTTGAAATGGGTTTTGAAGCAGGGCAGCACCAGGAATTATCAGGCGAGACTATCGTAGGCGGGTCAAGTTTCCGAGTCGGGTAAAGGTCAGAGGAGTCAGTAGTAGTAGTAGTAATGGCGGTAGAGGTGGTGGGGGTGGCAGAGGAGGAGATAGTGGTTTCACGATACTTGCGGCGTTTGGGCTTGATGGGCTGAGCTTGAACTTTGAGATGAGTAGTGGTAGTTGTACTAGTAGTAGTTGTAGTTGTTGTTGCCATGAAATATGCGAAATTAGTTTCTAGTGGCTGGTTTATGCGTTTTGTTGTCCTTTAGTTTAGGGCATTAGAGAGAAAAAGAATGCATGTTTTTGTTTTTGTCATTGTTTTTCCAGAGAAAATTGAATTAAAAAAAAATGGCGGTGTTCACGAGACAGACACAGTGAGAGTGAGAAAAAGGACAGGAGGAGACAGCAAATTGTGACTGAGAAACCTGAGAGAGCATTTAATGTGTGTTATTGTTCGTTATGAAAGAGTGCTGGTTTTGGGTTTTCCGCCGATGACGATGAGTTTTTGGATTTGGGATACTTCTAGTCAAAGAGAAAATAAATATAAAAGTTGAGGGAGAGGCAGGTTAGCCCCACAAACACAAGAAGTTTTTGGTTTCATTCATATTTTTCTTTATCTATGAGATGATGCATATCAATCGTGTCCTTTGCTGCTTCGTTACTTCAATTGACGGGATGGGATCGTATTTTCTGCCTTGATTTTTACAGTTTTCAATTTCACGTGGACTCAAACTGGCCCCATTCATGAAAATAATATTTAACATAGAACAGAGGGTGGGCATGCTGAATAATGAATTTAAAATGGTAATATGAAAGAAGCGGAAGTATTCTTTTGCACTATTTTTAGGTGATTTAGCTGTTCGATAAGGATTTTTAGGTGTATTATTCAAGAGATTTTAAGTTTAAGTCTTTTTTTGAATACTAACAAGGATAGTCATTAGAACTTTTATCCAACTGGTAATTTCAAAATTTCGAAAGATTAATTAAAATATGTATAAAGTAACTCGAACATCCCCATAATTAAAAAAAAAAAAAGTTATATTCTTTTATTCTAAGATAAGTAAATGTAATAAGTTCTAGGGTCTCTCTCATTATGCTCAAGCAGGCTTCAGCAGGGTGCGGGTGCTCAAATCAAAACAACAGGCTTTGTGTTTGTTTATTGAATATGAAGGTGGAGCATTAATGAAGAAAGACAAAAGGCTATGTTTGATTACATTAATTACACCTTTTTCATCATAATAGCTTGTGAGTCCTGCTTCCTCTTTCACTTTATCTTATTAAAAGACCTTTGCCCCAATCTCTGATCTCTAATCAGCAAAGAAATTTATATAAAATGACCACAAAAGACTTTGTATAAAACCCTTTTTAGATTTGAGTGGGCATGTGACTTACAAAAGCAGATAAAACCAAACCAAATTTCATTTGTCTTATTGCTTAATGTAAATTAAAGCATATTACTAATATTAGTTTAGCAGCTTAATTAAGCAAGTCAAGTCTTCATGGTGGGCCAAAAAATGAATATCAGTTTGCATCTCTGTCAAGTAAAAATGATACATACTTCTTCACGTGGATATCATCTTCCACACCATAATCCCAAATCATAAGTGGGAATGATTTTTGATGTTCTGGGTTTGAGGCTGTGTGTGGATTTTAGTGGATCTCTCCTCACCCTCTGTTGCCACCATTATTTTAATGGAATTCTTGAGGACAACAATCAAAACTTCCAAGAGAAATCATGCAAGTATTTGTTATAATTTCATTGTTCAGAGCAATGAATATGACCGAGCTCATTCAAGTACTTTCATGGATGCGGTCTTTAATGGACTACAGGGAACAGTGGTGCTATTATGAAGTTGAGTGGAGCAGACTTTCTAGTTTTGGAGTTAGGTGGATAATCATTCAAACCCTTTTGGTGGTGAAAATATTACAATGCCATAATTTGGGCTCATCAATTTTCTCGTATAGGCTCGTCTGCAATACTTGAGTCTAGCTGAAGGTATTTTTTGAGATAAACATAGGCCGAATTTAGAACGTTATTATTGGGTTTATTTGAGTTTAGAATCTGGGCTCGGGACGAAAGCTTGGACTTGTAAAAGGGCCATCTAATTGTCCATATCATCTACAGTTTAGTTCATATCTTTCGTATATCAATTGATGAGTTTATTCTTACTAAACTTTCAATAGAATCAATTAACCTACCAAACAACAAAGAAAAAATAGCACAAGAGAAGAAAAATCCAGATATATCCTCATGGTTATTCATGTCCGTACAATCCAAGATAAGAGTCAGAGGAATTAGTGCCAGAATTTATTAAATAAGAAAATTCAAAACTAAGACTGAGCCAAGAATCAAAATGATGAGTGTCAATCAAACTTATAATAACATTTCCGAAAGTAAAAATAAAAATAAATACAGGTTAGTTATCTAACACCATGCATGGTAATTCATAGATTAACACCAACTGATCCAGTACCAACCCAATCCAATAAAGGCAATACAGCAATGAGAAATGATAATGATGGTAACTGTTGTAATGTTCAACTACTCAGCGGCCATGAATTTTCAGAGATATTCCATATACCTTATATAGTTACACTTAATTTCCACCATCATAGCTCCAAGCTTATCCATTGTCAACATGGACAGAACTGATTACAAAGAGAAGCTGAGCCCATCATTGTTGCTATAATCACATTTGCGATGCTTTACCTAGCCCTCTGCAATAAAAACCAGTTCTAATATCTCAGACATGAACAACCAATCCTGGTTAGCCAGAATGTTCCTCTTCTTTGAGATCACCGAATAAGACTATAAGAGTCTATAAATATAGATGATAACATAAGAACAGATGGACCATCCTAAAGAAAAACTAAATCCAATACCAAAGATACGTGCACCAACTGAAGTGTCAAATGGACAAAACAAGCATTACTGAGTTATCTTCACATATACATGCGAGTTGCATCAGAGAATGTTGTCTTTCCAGACTAAACCCGGTTATATGAAGTCAAACAGACACATATCCACTACAGTGAACTCAACTCCTCCAAAGATCCAGTCCTGGTTTAGCAAGGAAGGAGACAAAAAGAAAAAAAATTAATTTAGAACCAAGACCAAAGCAATCACAAGAAGGCAATAAATCCATTAGGCATTATCATTTATTTCATGGCGCAAGAGGTAAATTTAGAGTTCTCAATAGTTGCAGTTGTAATTCGTAATTGCCTTGGTCGTTCCTGCTCACCATTGCGTCTCCAGAAGGCCCTCCTCCACCAAACTTCAAACCCTCTCTGTATGTTAGGACAATCCTCACCAGAGTTTAAGATATATTAAACCAAGCAAGCAAAATTTCCTGTTGCCAAGATAGAGGCAGAGTAAGAAAGTCGTTTACTAAGACCAATTCAATAAGTCGGTCAAGGCCTTTGGATGCCCTCTCATCCACCCAAAATCATCATAAAAAGGCTCCAACCAAGTCCTTAAAAGCAAGTATCTCACATCCTTTGAAGCCAATAACTGTCCTTTGCCAATTCCAACAAACAGTCTAGCAGTAACTCTGCTAAACTCATACTAGGATGGTGGAACTTTTGAATGTGCCTCAGTACTTCAGATTGAGAAGCCCATGTTTTAAAAAGTCTCAGCATCTGCCTATCAATCAAGATATCCAAAATCCAATGCAAATTATCCGCCTGCCTGGCAATCTGTCCCACATCCTGCAAATCCCCTGTTGCCACCTGGAGAACATGCTGGCGTAGCAATTTTAAAACACCCCACAAGCAGAGTACAGTGACTCCTTTCGAAGATCATTTTGAGATGAATTTTCATGAGCATCTTAGATACCAGCCCCTTCATTCGCGTCTTGGCTTCTCATCTTTGCCTTCAAGAACTACATGTAAAGCTTGAGAAGCACCTCCTCGTTGTCATACCCTCTTCTGTTCCACCATTAATTCACTGAAACCCTCTTCAAAACTTACCAGCTCCAAACACTTCAAGTCGGAGCTCTGATAACAGTGAAGCCACTTTCTCCTCTTCATCCTCAGCCCATGGTGCAGCTTCTAAGTACTCTAGACAAGATAAAAAACCCGCATCAACCAATCGCTGCTGAAACATAAAAAATACACATAAAAAAACAACCAATAAATCCCCTTAACCACAACCCTCAATTTAGTTGCAAAAATAGTCAACAATGATCTATATAGAACTTCTAATCAAACACTCAAATTTTGCAATTTCAAATTTTCTCAGAGGTTGATTGCTACCCTTGTTAAGTGTATAGGAGATCTTGGTTGACTTGAATTTATAAAAGACAAAAAAGGTCAGGTGGTAAATCCTTTTACATGGCCTCCCTAACAAAAGGAAATATATATTAGAGTAAGAACCTTTAAACTAGCTATATTTTCCCACAACAAAGCATAAAACCGAAACACACTAATCACTGCACATAAAGAATCCATTTTACTAGCATGTTCCTAGTTAAGTGGAGGCTTTAAGAATTCAAAATCTTTGTTTTCCTTCCTTATCCTGCATACAGTTTTAAGCAACAAAAATAAATCAACACTTGACCATAAGATTTCAAAAACAAGAAAACCCCAAAACCTAAAAATGACACCGGAAAAGAAAAAAAAAAAATCCAAAACTAGCTCTTACTTGACAAAAAAAAGAAAAAAAATTTTTAACCACTTTACCTTCAAGATACCAAGAACTTTGGAAACATCCTCTCTCATCAACTTCTTTTAAGATCCTTACTGTACATCAACCTCAAAGTCTCAATTAAACCTCAACGTCATCACAATCCGCCATCTCCAAATGTACGGAAGATTAGTTTTCTGCTGCGTTTTGTCCACCGATCCGTAACTTAACGCCGCAAAAATCTACTATGTGCCACAATATCTGTCTGTGCACTTGATGGACACGCTTAACCATCTAGAACTCAGAGTTAGTTTTATGTCACTCGACGCCGCCTCGTTGAACTGATTACCTGGACTCCTCGTAGCAAAAGATCTGAAATTCTTTGCATTTTCAATTGCTGGCTATCAAAGTTTTGTTGTTGGTATGACTCATTTTTGGCGGAATTATGGGGATACTGTTGTGGCTTGTTGGGATCTGGGCTTTCGGGTGAACCTCGGGTTCACTCGCCATCATTTCGAAAAGTGTCGGGCTGGAACGGGTTTTATCCGGTGGGGGCGACATCGGGTTTAAAAGACTGATGATTGGGTAGATTACGAAATTAGATATTTATAAGTTGTGGACCAATAGGAAATACGAACATTAAATGTTTTTCAATTCAAAATTTGAAAATTTTAATTAATGCCAGGGTTAGGGTTAGGGTTAGGGCTTTGGTTTGTGTATTTATGATTTAAAATATATTTTTTTAATGTTTTTTTAAGGTAAACATGCGCGTAGCCATAGAGTTCATGAATACAACATAAACCTACCAATGGACCAAGCTTCATTGCTCCTCTTTAGAGATTATGAAAGCAAGCTTATACCCTCAAAAAAAGTCAAGGTTAGAGGCAATAATGGAGAAAATTATACCCTGCAACCAGAGGCCGGGATTAGGGTGGAGGTGGGAAAAGGTGAAAACCCACACAAAAATTTAAGGTTGTATTTGTTTCTTTATTTATACCCTATCATACCTAAAAAACATATTTGTTTCCTTATTCTAAAAATCTAATTCTATTTTATTCAACTCTGTTAAACCCCTTAAATTTGTTAATTTCCCTAAAAAAGTTTTAGAAATTAACCAAAACACCCTCACTCACCCATAGTGGCGGATCCAGAAATTTCACTCGATGGGAGCAAAAAATAAACAAAAAAATTTGTGGGGGCAAAATGTCAAAGTCTTATAGGGGGTAAAATACAACTAAATATAAATATTTATACAATCAAAGTTTTTTAAAGTTTGAGTGGGGGCCGTGGTCCCCACTCGTCATTAAGTAAATCTGCCACTGCTCACCCACATTTGCCAGATTTCGGCCACCACCGTCGGAAGGTGGCCGAAATTTGGCGTAATGGGGTACCAATTGGATCTGGCCGGTAATGTGCCAGTCTACCATTTTCCATGCCAAATCCATCGTGGATCTGGTCGGAAAAGACTAAATCTACAACCAAAGATTCAACGGCCAGATATTTGGTCATAACTAGTCATCATGGTCGTCGTTGATGACCAAATGTGGTCTAATCCACTGTGAATTTGATCGAAAAATGTCATATCGATGTACGACCGGCTAGATCTAACCGGTCATGCACCATTACAATGACTGTCGACCACCCTTCAACGGTGGTGGTCAGCATTTAATGGGTGAATGGGGGTGATTTTACTAATTTTCAATGTTTTATTGTAAGGGTGTTTAACTAAATTAACAAACCCAAGGGGATGTTTCTGTTAATTTTTAAATTTTACCTCGTAATAACCACTCAACTCAATTTTTAAAAAAATCATACCCAAAATAATAAAACAAACACACTCTACTCTATCACCTTGGTTCCAAAACTCCGGAGTGGAGGCCGAAGCTTGAGGTCAGGTAACGATATCTTAAGGAGAACGGAAATAAGGACCTAAAAATTGCCAACCCTAATCCCACTTAAATGTAATAGTTCTTCATGTTTGTTCATTACTAAATGAGTACCCAACATATTCTTAAAGTGAAAACTTAACAGTGGGTTGTATATTATAAAGTTTTGACGTCTACATAAAGATTTTGGTATAGGAGAACTGAGGAAATTTCTTGGTAGTGCATGTTCCATCAATAGAGAGCTGCACGGATCTTGATTGAAAATGGTGACACAAAATCATCAAATAAAATAAGTCCTGTCAAAATTGTCTCTATCAAACTTTAACATCAATTCCAGCACATGCACAAGGAAAGTTACCAGCAGGAGGTGGGCACAAGCTACCTTCATTCATTCATTCATTCAACCACCAAATTTAACATGAAAACAAACATCAAAAACCTGTTGCAAGATTGACATTTTTTTAAATGGGGTAAAAGAATCCAATTATTGTTGGAAACCAAATCTTTTAAGCAGTTTGGTTAAGCTAACTGGACCCTTAAACATGAATAATATGATAGTGGTGCTTCCCTAATCTACATTGCCTAGAACTCAAGAAAAGGATGATAAGAAAGCTTGAGAATCCTACAGCGAACTGGTACCTGTAAAGTTGAAATCTGAAACTCCGTATCCTAGAAAAATAATGAAAGAACGTTCTGTTTTTGCCTGGAAGCAAGTAAAGAACATCAAACACTAACAGGAAAACCACCAGGGAAGTTATTCTTTAGGTTACCTAAAGAGAATATGATTCACATGGCTTGATACTCTGAAGCTATTCTAAAGTTATTCTCGGAAGGAAAAGCTAGTACTAAGTATCACCTCAAAAGCAAAGTATTGGGATCACAAAACAAAAATCACAAAATGAAATAAGTTTCATTAGACTGCAGATTCACATTGGCCTCTGTCCATGAAACCATGAACTAGCAATTGTCATAACAGCAAAACACCAACTTTCATCTAGATGTGTCTGAAAAAATTCAAAATTTCCTGCCAAATATTCGGCATTCTAATAGCTCTAGCGACAAGAAGTCCACACAAAGACAAGGCAGCTCTAATAATGCCCCCAATATTTATGTAGTGGATGGAATGCATATGGTTCTCATAAGGAGATAAGGACAATAGAGGAAAACAAAATGACCAGACTTCCTACCAAAACAACAAAGAAAAAATAGCACAAGAGAAGAAAAATCCAGATATATCCTCAATGGTTATCTCATGTCCGTACAATTCCAAGATAAGAGTCAGAGGAACTGGTGAGAGAATTTATCTAAATAAGAAAATTCAAAACTTAAGACTGAGCCAAGCAATCAAACTGATGAGTGTCAATCAAACTTATAATAACATTTCCGAAAGTAAAAATAAAAATAAATACAGGTTAGTTATCTAACACCATGCATGGTAATTCATATGATTAACACCAACTGATCCAGTACCAACCCAATCCAATAAAATGGCAATACAGCAATGAGAAATGATAATGATGGTAACTGTTTGTAATGCTTCAACTACTCAGCGGCCAAATTGATTTTTCAGAGATATCCCATATAACCTTATATAGTTACACTTAATTTCCACCATCTCATAGCTCCAAGCTTATCCATTGTCAACATGGACAGAACTGATTACAAAGTGAAGCTGAGCCCATCATTGTTGCTATACAATCACATTTGCTGGATGCTTTACCTAGCCCTCTTGCAATAAAAACCAGTTCTAATATCTCAGACATGAACAACCAATCCTGGTTAGCCAGAATGTTCCTCTTCTTTGAGATCAACCGAATAAGACTATAAGAGTCTATATAAATATAAGATGATAACATAAGAACAGATGGACCATCCTAATAAGAAAACTAAATCCAATACCAAAAGTATACGTGCACCAACTGAAGTGTCAAATGGACAAAACAAGCATTCTATTGAGTTTATCTTCACATATACATGCGAGTTGCATTCAGAGAATGTTGTCTTCTTCCAGACTAAACCCGGTTATATGAAGTCAAACAGACACATATCCACTACAGTGAAACTCAACTCCTCCAAAGAATATCCAGTCCTGGTTTAGCAAGGAAGGAGACAAAAAAGAAAAAAATTAATTTAGAACCAAGACCAAAGCAATCACAAGAAGGCAATAAATCCATTAGAGCATTATCATTTATTTCATGGCGCAAGAGGTAAATTTATGAGTTCTCAATAGTTGCAGTTGTAATTCGTAATTGCCTTGGTCGTTCCTGCTCACCATTGCGTCTCCAGAAGGCCCTCCTCCACCAAACTTCAAACCCTCTTTGTATGTTAGGACAATCCTCACCAGAGTTTAAGAATCTATTAAACCAAGCAAGCAAAATTTCCTGTTGCCAAGATAGAGGCAGAGTAAGAATCGTGTTACTAAGACCATCTTCAATTAAGTGTCGATCAAGGCCTTTGGATGCCCTCCTCATCCACCCAAAATCATCATAAAAAGGCTCCAACCAAGTCCTTAAAAGCAAGTATCTCACATCCTTTGAAGCCAATAACTGTCCTTTGCCAATTCCAACAAACAGTCTAGCAGTAACTCTGCTAATCTCATACCTATGGATGGCTGGAACTTTTGAATGTGCCTCAGATACTTCAGATTGAGAAGCCCATGTTTTTAAAAAGTCCTCAGCAATCTGCCTATCAATCAAGATATCCAAAATCCAATGCAAATTATCCGCCTGCCTGGCAATCTGTCCCACATCCTGCAAATCCCCTGTTGCCACCTGGAGAACATGCTGGCGTAGCAATTTTAAACACCCATCACAAGCAGAGTACAGTGACTCCTTTCGAAGATCATTTTGAGATGAATTTTCATGGAGCATCTTAGATACCAGCCCCTTCATTTCGCGTCTTGCCTTCTCATCTTTGCCTTCAAGAACTACATGTAAAAGCTTGAGAAGCACCTCCTCGTTGTCACTACCCTCTTCTGTTCCACCATTAACTTCAACTGAAACCCTCTTCAAAACTTCACCAGCTCCAACACCTTCAAGTCGGAGCTCTGATAACAGTGAAGCCACTTTCTCCTCTTCATCCTCAGCCCATGGTGCAGCTTCTAAGTACTCTAGACAAGATAAAACCCCCGCATCAAACCCAATCGCTGCTGAAACCTAAAAAAACACACATAAAAACCAACCAATTAAATCCCCTAAACCCCAACCCTCAATTTAGTTGCAAAAATAGTCAACAATGATCTATATAGAACTTCTAATCAAACAGTCAGAATTTTGCAATTTCAAATTTTCTCAAGAGTTGATTGCTACCCTTGTTAAGTGTATAGGAGATCTTGGTTGACTTGAATTTATAAGAAAGACAAAAAAGGATCAGTTGGTAAATCCTTTTACATGGCCTCCCTAACAAAAGGAAATATATATTAGAGTAAGAACCTTTAAACTTAGCTATATTTTCCCACAACAAAGCATAAAACCGAAACCACACTATTCACTGCACATAAAGAATCCATTTTACTAGCATGTTCCTAGTTAAGTGGAGGCTTTAAGTTAATTCAAAATCTTTGATTTTCCTTCCTTATCCTGCATACAGTTTTTAAGCAACAAAAATAAATCCTAACACTTGACCATAAGATTTCAAAAACAAGAAAACCCCAAAACATAAAAATTGACACCGAGAAAAGAAAAAAAAAAAACCAATAACTACTGCTCTTACTTGACAAAAAAAAGAAAAAAAATTTTTTAACCACTTTACCTTCAAGATACCAAGAACTTTGGAAACATCCTCTCTCATCAACTTCTTTTTAAGATCCTTACTGTACATCAACCTCAAAGTCTCAATATAAACCTCAACGTCATCACAATCCGCAATCTCCACAATGTACGGAAGATTAGTTTTCTGCTGCTGTTTTGTCCACCGATCCGATAACTTAACCGCGAAAAATCTACTATGTGCCACAATTATCTGTCTGTGCACATTGATGGACACGCTTATACCATCCTTAGAACTCAGAGTTAGTTTTATGTCACTCGACGCCGCCTCGTTGAACTGATTACCTGGACTCCTCGTCAGCAAAAGATCTGAAATTCTTTGCATTTTCAATTGCTGGCTATCAAATGTTTGTTGTTGGTAGTGACTCATTTTTGGCGGAATTATGGGGATACAGTTGTGGCTTGTTGGGATCTGGGCTTTCGGGTGAACCTCGGGTTCACTCGCCATCATTTCGAAAAGTGTCGGGCTGGAACGGGTTTTATCCGGTGGGGGCGACATCGGGTTTAAAAGACCCGCGGTTAAAGCCGAATTAAATTTGCTGAAACTTGAAGAGAATGCTGAATCTGAGGAGTGACCGTTGAGCGTTGTTGTCGTTGATGATGTTGGTGAGGTATGCGTGAAGTCCATGACTGGCGATAGACTCCCGGGAGAGAACCGGATCCTGAACGATGAAGGCGAATACGGTATTAGTATCGGGTCAGCCTCTCTTACGGGTGTACGGACGGATCTTTGCTGTTGTTGCTGTGGCTGCGGCTGCGGCGGCGTTGGTGGAGGATTTGAAATGGGCTTTGAAGCAGGGCAGCACCAGGAATTATCAGGCGAGACTATCGTAGGCGGGTCAAGTTTCCGAGTCGGGTAAAGGTCAGAGGAGTCAGTAGTAGTAGTAGTAATGGCGGTAGAGGTGGTGGGGGTGGCAGAGGAGGAGATAGTGGTTTCACGATACTTGCGGCGTTTGGGCTTGATGGGCTGAGCTTGAACTTTGAGATGAGTAGTGGTCGTTGTACTAGTAGTAGTTGTAGTTGTTGTTGCCATGAAATATGCGAAATTATTTTCAAGTGGCTGGTTTATGCGTTTTGTTGTCTTTTAGTTTAGGGCATTAGAGAGAAAAAGAATGCATGTTTTTGTTTTTGTCATTGTTTTTCCAGAGAAAATTGAATTAAAAAAAAAATGGCGGTGTTCACGAGACAGACACAGTGAGAGTGAGAAAAAGGACAGGAGGAAACAGCAAATTGTGACTGAGAAACCTGAGAGAGCATTTAATGTGTGTTATTGTTGTTATGAAAGAGTGCTGGTTTTGGGTTTTGTGTTTTCCGCCGACGACGATGAGTTTTTGGATTTGGGATACTTCTTGTCAAAGAGAAAATAAATAAAAGGTGAGGGAGAGAGGCACTCAAGGACTGTCAGGTCAGCCCCACAAACACAAGAAGTTTCTTGTTTCATTCATATTTTTCTTTATTTATGAGATGATGCATATCAATCGTGTCTTTTGCTGCTTCGTTACTTCAATTGACGGGATGGGATCGTATTTTCTGCCTTGATTTTTACAGCTTTCAATTTCACGTGGACTCAAACTGGCCCCATTCATGAAAATAATATTAACATAGAACAGAGAGTGGGCATGCTGAATAATGAATGAAAAGTGGTAATATGAATGAAGCATGGAAGTATTCTTCTGTATTATCTGTGTATAATCCGAGATATTGGATTGAGATTTTTATAGGGTCTCTCTCATTATGCTCAAGCTTCAACAGGGTGCGGGAGCTCAAATCAAAACAACAGGCTTTGTGTTTGTTTATTGAATATGAAGGTGGAGCATTAATGAAGAAAGACAAAAGGCTAAGTTTGATTACATTAATTACACCTTTTTCATCATAATAGCTTGTGAGTCCTGCTTCCTCTTTCACTTTATCTTATTAAAAGACCTTTGCCCCATTCTCTGATCTCTAACCAGCAAAGAAATTTATATAAAATGACTACAAAAGACATTGTACAAAACCCTTTTTAGATTTGAGTGGGCATGTGACTTACAAAAGCGGATAAAACCAAACCAAATTTCATTTGTCTTATTTCTTAATGTAAATTAAAGCATATTACTAATATTAGTTTAGCAGCTTAATTAAGCAAGTCAAGTCTTCATGGTGGGCCAAAAAATGAATATCAGTTTGCATCTCTGTCAAGTAAAAATGATACATACTTCTTCACGTGGATATCATCTTCCACACCATAATCCCAAATCATAAGTGGGAATGATTTTTGATGTTCTGGGTTTGAGGCTGTGTGTGGATTTTAGTGGATCTCTCCTCACCCTCTGTTGCCACCATTATTTTAATGGAATTCTTGAGGACAACAATCAAAACTTCCAAGAGAAATCATGCAAGTATTTGTTATAATTTCATTGTTCAGAGCAATGAATATGACCGAGCTCATTCAAGTACTTTCATGGATGCGGTCTTTAATGGACTACAGGGAACAGTGGTGCTATTATGAAGTTGAGTGGAGCAGACTTTCTAGTTTTGGAGTTAGGTGGATAATCATTCAAACCCTTTTGGCGGTGAAAATATTACAATGCCATAATTTGGGCTCATCAATTTTCTCGTATAGGCTCGTCTGCAATACTTGAGTCTAGCTGAAGGTATTTTTTGAGATAAACATAGGCCGAATTTGGAACGTTATTGTTGGGTTTATTTGAGTTTAGAATCTGGGCTTGGGACGAAAGCTTGGACTTGTAAAAGGGCCATCTAATTGTCCATATCATCTACAGTTTCGTTCATATATTTCGTATAACAATTGATGAGTTTATTCTTACTAAACTTTCAATAGAATCAATTAACATTTTGAGTGTTATTGTCATTTTTTAGCATGTTGGGCTTTTTTTTTTTTTTTTTTTTTTTTTAATCACTGGTGTTCGAGTTAGTTTACGCATACCTTAATTAATCTCTCCGAACCATGAAACTATCGACTGAGTAAGAGTCCCACTAGACCTTTTTTAATGTCTAAGAGGACTCAAACTCAATTACTCAAGAGCTCATAGAATTTAGCATCTGGGATTGTGGGTTGCTTTGTACCTTAATGAAACCTCAAGGGTGAAATGTTATTTTCGTCTCTATTTGGCATTCCATGGGTTTGCCACAGCCACTAGGTACCATGTCCAAATTTTAAAGAGTAATACTAGCCTTACAAAGAGACATATTAAGAGTCAAATCCATTCCTTAAAAGAAGGGAAAAAGAGAGAGAGAAAGAGACAATCATGAATTTCAAGGACTGGATTTGATTCTTTGTATGCCTCTTTGTAAGGCTATTATTACTCAATTTTGCTATGACTTTATTACTTTACCCCATTAAATTCTACTTTGGAGGACCCGTTACTTAGAAAATAATATGACCAAATTGTCAAAGATAATGATGGACAAAGACAAACTATCTGTCAAATTAAAAATTTTACTCTAAAGTTTAGGAAAAATCACACGGCACAAAGATAGCGCAAGCTGCAATATATTAATCCAAATGATATGTGATGACAAGGCCTGAGCTAAGTAGTGTGAGTATTTTTCTCAACAATGGTGATTAATTACCCAACATATTCTGTTTACTTTAACTCTCGTATGCTTTTTCTTATTCTTTATTGTATAATTAATTAGTAGTTAATCACTATTGATGGACCAGATTAATCTGCAACAACGGTGTTTACCTTTTAAAAGTTAAACGACTTGTCTTCTCCTATGCCAATTATCACCATCTAATTTTCATTGTTTATTAAATCAAATCAAAAGTTGATGAAGTTAAGCTCATGTTTGCTCAATGGAGAAGACCTTGCAGAAGAAGGAATAATTGAGTGTGCGGGAGAGATTGTCTTTGCTTTGTTTGGTTTGTATGTATCACAACGAGTTGATAGGAGCACAGTGGAAATAATTCAATCTTTACACTATCCCCGCAATGTTTAAGTTTGTTGATGACTCGCACATGTAAAGTGCTAAGAGAGTCTTAGAAATTATATGTGATGGATCCATGAGATTTGAATATGGTGCGAGATATATAATTTGCAGAAACATAAATAATAGACTAATAAGAGAAGTTTTTATAGTGATTCAGATGCTTGAAGCAAATCCTACATCCACTGTTATTTTAATTCTTTGAGTATTTCTAGATATTACCCGTAAGGCATACAAAGATAAAGAAATACTTTGTTATAGAGAGAAATAATGAAGCTCAAATATATGTCTAGCTTCATATGCTCAATCTCCCTTTTCGTGAAGAGAAGTGCTCATTTATACACTTTTAGGTTAATGTAATGAATGCTTTAAAAGTTGTCTTGACACGTAGGGATGACTCCTTAATTCTTATTCTTTTATTTTGATAAATTGGGACAGGTGTGCGGTCCTCATCTACTCATAGACAAAAACTTGAATCTACTGGGTTGGTGACAATCGTATCCCTCTATCTTGGGATGAAGTGGCAACTCCTAGACGATACAAAGCTTTCCTGAACTCTGATTGGTTGGTGCTGATATCAGTGCTATTTTTTAGGCACAACAAACTTATTCTTTACATCCGTTTAACCAATTAAAATTGATTCTGATGATACTGCATGATATTGAAACAGATGAAGAACGGTGATGATAGGTGGGAGAAATACTACATCCATGGTGAGATATGAAGAGTGTATCACATGAATTGAATAGTTTCTTAAGAAATGGGTGGGGGTTAGGTAGAAGAACACCAGAGGCAGACATAGCCACATGCCAATATGACCCACCATTCTGACCTATGTCTCTGCTAATATCGTTATCTTTTTCATCACATTATTATCTCTCTGCAATTCTCCCACATTCATCTTTTGCTTTTTCTTCAATCTTGGGGTCCCAATCTTTTTACAAATTTTGTTTATTTTACAAAAACAAAACCATTTGGTTCAGAACTAATTCTATATTCTCTCTATTATAACTAACACAATTAAACTTCTCTTTAGATAGTGGTCGGAGGAACCCTCAGAAACAATCCAAATCAAGGGTCAAAGAAGAGGAGGGGAGCCCGGCAGAGTCCCCATTAGAGAGAAGATAATGTTTTGATGGTGGTGGTGAGAAAAAGAGAGAGATGCACAAACAAAACGACTGTGGTTGTTTTGTCGTTTTGATTAGATGGATGAGAGAGAGGTCCCTCAGTCAGCTCACTTAAAAAATTTCATTTAATTATGGAAATCACAATATAATTTACACAGGGTTTGAATTCCTCAAACAAAACGTGGGTATACAGTAGATGTGATCAAAGTTGTCCAAAAAGCAAAGCAATCGTACAAAAACTTGTCTGGAAACCACATTCCTTGACAAACCACAAGGGGGACAACAGATACTTCTCAGTTTTACATCTCATTACATAGCTGTAACTTCTCTTTTTAATTTCATGGTGCAGGCATCTTCTGCTTAATGATCTTATTCAATAATATTATTGAAGCAACTTGTAAAAAAAAAAAAAAAAAAAAAAAAAAAAAAAAGAGAGAACTAAGCTAGCTCATCTCTTGAGTAAATCTCTTTTGTCAAATCTTTATGTATTCATTAATATATGTCTTTAAGGCTGTGTTTGTCCTTTGTGTCAGTACTTGTGCATGCATGAGAGAAAGAGTGAAAGAGAAAGATCCATTTCTGGGTTCATGGCTCTGCAATAAGGGATAATGAAATTGACAGCAAAAATTTCACAACAAAATGAGGAAATGAATTCATTAGTGTACGTATATAAGACATTTTTAAGGCAAGATGTAGAGGGGAAATATACATGAGGAGTGATTGAATTTTCCCAAAATAAGGGGAAAAGGACACAGAGAGAACAGGCCACGTGGTCCTTGTCAGTCCAAATCGCCAATGATCAACATGCATTCACATGTCAATTCAAGCGTGACCCAGAAAACCATCTTGCAAGTTGTTCTTAATATATATTTATATATTTTTTACCTTATTCCATGGCCATTCTTTTTAAGCTAAGTTTTAGACGACAGTTTCTGACAATCAAAGTTGGATGGAATTTGATTTCTAGCTTCTAGTTAACAATAGTTTGATTCTGAGTTCAACCTCATGGCAGGCAAATTCTGATAGGAACTTGTATTAAATTAGAATAAAGAGTTGGAGTTAATCGCATACAAATCATGCTTTTTGGCTAAACATGGTGGAAAAGAGAACAAACAGATTAAACAAACTGGTTCTTCAGACTTAGAGAATTGCATTAGCAAGTGGAATATTTTTGTCTTTAATAAAGTTTAGGTGAAAAAAGAAAAAAAATTATGAATCTTGGGTTGGATTTAGCTGGCCTACCTTAATAAGGCCAAATGACAGTAAAATCTGATGTCCCCATTTGAAAAAGGGTTTTCCAGTTTTGGTGTTCCCAACATGGTCCACTCTTAATTTGTTATTAAGGTAATTAATTCTGACATTATTTACTTTCTCATTTCAATAACAAAGTGAAATGAGAGAGTGAAAGGGCATGGAGACAGAGACAGAGAATGAGACAAGAGAGGAAGCACGCAGGTGGTGGTGAGTGATGAGAGGTCCGCTCCGAGCGGTCGGGGGTGGTGGGGTGCCCCTACACTGTGTGAAAAAATGGGGGTGGGCCTAATTTTGTCTTGGCGGTTTTAGACATTTTGTCAGAGAAGAATTTGGCCATTAGTTAAGGGTTTATGAGCTTTCATCTCCCCCATCACTTTTCTTAATGGGATGGTTGCCCCTTCCGACACTCACAGCCCCCATTGCCTTCCCTTGTTAACTCACCAATTTAGACTTCTTTTGACCCTTTTTTGGCCTCATATTTTTCAGAAAAATTTAATTAAAAAAAACTATCACTATCGATCTCCTCCATTCTTTTTAACGTAACAACTATTCATCAATCAAGCAATTTGTGACGTATACGACTTGACTTGTAAATCAAACGTTATCTTTATTGTTTGTTTTTCATGTATAACTTGGGATAAGGATGGATTGGATGAAAGTGAGAATGGAATAGTGTTTTTTTTTTTTTTTTTAAATTAGGGAGATTTTAACTTAAAAGAAGACAAAAGAAAGAAAGAGGGAGGGGGGGAGCCCTAACCCTGAACTTGTCCCAAATCATTCAATAAGGCCATTTGATATGTTAGTGGCAACCCCATTTAAGATGGGGACAATGACAACATGATGTGCAAAAAAACACACCAAATATCACCCCTTCTTCTTCTTGTTCTTGATGCCCACCTTCCTTTGTGGGCTTCCCATGGATTGATTGGTGGATCCCTTTAACCCCCACTTCATGTCTTGTTCATTTTGCCTCTCTTTTTCTCCATCTTTGCCCCACCTTTATCTCAGAGAAAAACTTAAGGTAATGCAAATGTCTCCAAAAGGACTTCAACTCCAGAGAACTAATCATAAATTTAACCATTCAACATATGAATACACTAATTCATATTAATAATGTGATTTGATAAGGGTGGGTCAAAGATAAACGTCTGCAGATTTAATTATTGGATTAAGAAAGTGAATTAAATTGACAAATTCCTGGACCCCAGATGGAGGAAATGCTACCTAAAATGTGATTTTAATTACATGGTTAATTTTGGACTGAGTCCCAGAAGAATCCTTCAAAGCCATCGGCCTTTTTATTATAATTTGTGGGGCCCTATATTTCATTAAAAAAAAAAAATGGTTAAACAAATTGCTGCAAATTATAAATTGTAAAGACAATCATCACTAAAGCAACTCACTGCTTTATTCGTAGTACTAATTAAGAAGGCTATTATTAGCTTTTCCCAATAGCCACATTCTCTATTTTATATTGTATCCATGGTATTTTATATTTGCATAGTTTCAACTTACAGTTTCAGTTTGATTCTTTGCTGAGCGTAAAGTTAGTATTTTTATCCATGATTTACTTAGGAGATTTTAACGGTAGATTGCTATGGGATAGTTTCTTTTGAAGATTAGTCGAAGTGTACGTAAATTGGATTGGATACCTCAGCTAAAAAAAAATAAAAAGAAAATCTAATTCTGAATCTAAAGTATTGTAGATACATGAATAACTTAAGCTAAATATGCAAAAACATAATAAATAAAATGAAAATTTATTGCAAATTTACCATATATGATATCAATAAGTTGAATGAAGTTGGAAATTTTAGATAAACCTAATAAGGTTCCCCCACTTTTATTGTTGCTCTCTTGGGTCTTTTCTAATTTATCGACAAAATTTATGTGAATATTTAAAAAATAATAGGAAAGTATTCTCACTCTTATGTGGCAATGTTGCTGTCATTTGGCATAAAAACCCAAACTCGGTAATTACTTCGTATATATAAAATTTCAAGCTGAAGCTCTCTCTATATAATTCATCTTTCGCCTTTGCTCTTCATCCTTCTCTCTCTCTCTCTCTCTCTCTCTCTCTCTCAAACAAAAACACAAACACTTATAAAAATCAAAACACTAATGGGTTTTCCAGTAGCTTACACAGAGCTTTTCCTCCCGAAGCTCCTTCTTCACACACTTTCCTTTCTGGGTTTCATCAGAAAACTAATCTCCATTCTCTTTAGCTATCTGGGTCTCCAAGAATTTCTCGAACCCGACATTGCTTGGCCCGACACACCGACCATACGTGTCCCCGCGCCTCTCTCCGTCTCCGCTCTTCTCATCCGCGAAATCCTGCCGGTCGTTAAGTTCTCAGACCTTGTTGACCCGCCAGACTCGTGTGCCGTTTGTCTCTACGAGTTTGAAGACCAGGACGAGATCAGACGGCTCACAAATTGCCGCCATATCTTCCACCGTAGCTGCCTCGACCGTTGGATGGGATACGATCAGAAAACGTGCCCCTTATGTCGTACGCCGTTTATACCAGATGATATGCAAGAGACGTTCCATGAGAGGCTATGGGCTGCTTCCGGGATCCCCGACTTATATGATGCTGAATATTCTCAGGTCACTGATTTGCAGGCTTCAAGTTAAAAAAAATGGAGGAAAAAGAAAATATATTTTTTTTTCTTTTTTGATCGTATAAAGGAGCCGGGGTGGTTGGTTTGTATATACACAAGAGAGAATGATCCGAGAAGAGAAATGAAAATGGAGAGCTACATATTAGAATTATATGTTTATAATAATAATAATAATAATATTTAACTTAATTAATTTGTAGTTTGTACAGTCTGCTTCTTCATCTTCTTCCTCTTATCCTTCTTGTTTCTTAATTAGTTTTTGAATCAATGAAGATAAAAAGATTTGGATCTTAGTTCAATTCTGGTTTGAATGTTGATGGCTTTTTCTGTTAGGTTCATGGTACTTTGAATTGAAGGAGAGTAGTTTTGAGTTTGGTTTTGACATGTTGGTTATGGTTAGGTTTGTCGAACACAAAATTATAATATGATTTTGATTTGAGGTTGACATTATAATTAATGCCCGGTACTAGACTAACATATGCAAAGATAGAAATAATTTTAATTAATTAAATCTCGTCACTTGACCATTAATGAGTATATGATGATGATGATGACGGTGATCTCATTGAGGTTTAATTTCTGGGTTCACTTTTTCAGATTTGTTGCCAGGATTTATTTTTAAAAGAAGAAGAATAATGAGATCAGTCTCCAGGTTAAAAGCACGTGGAGTGGAGCGGTGGAGACATGTGGTCTAATGGATTCTTTTTTTTTCTCGTGTGCAAACGAAAACGATCAACCTTTCAATCATTCTATCGTGGCTTCTTCTTTCGCCAAATGAATTTAATTAATTAATTTTCTATTTAATTTGCTTTGGAATATTTATAGATTAAGATTAACAAGTATCGTTATGTCAATTATCAAACTCTAATTGATTAGATTTTTATGTATATGCAAATGCAATGCCATGCATGTTTCTCTATTATTATTATTATTTTTTTTTTAAATTGGGATATCCGAACTAATTTACGTACACCTCAACTAGTCTTTTGGGATATTAAAACTATCTGTCGAATAAGAACTTTAGTTATTATCCTTATTAGCACCCGATGAGAGACTCAAACTCAAAACTTCTTGAATAATACGTCCAATAATCACTATTAAACCACTCAGTTACACAAATATAATTGCAATGCATGTTTCGCTTTAACTAAATTTTCACCTTTTTTTTTCTCGTCATTTTTATATTTAAATACCATTTCATACCATAATGCAAATAAGATTAATATTTAAAACCCATTTATTATAATATCAAACATGTTTTTACTTCAATTTTTCACCTTAACCTTTTTCTTCAAAAAGGAGAGGAATATATTTAAAATTAAATAAGTTAATTACTAACTAATTTTAATATAATTGAATTAACCATTAGTTTCATACATAATTATTAATGTAAAATGGATGGATATATTTAAAAGAAAAGAAAAAGAAAAGGAAAAGAATTTGAAAATTTAATCAACCATATATTAAATGATTTACTATACAAGTACGTGGGTTTTCTGCGACGCGTGATAAAAAGGCACATTACGCGGTGGGACATCGAGTGGTGCTGCCAAATGGCAAGATCTTAGCGACTCCGCGTGTGGAAGCAAAAAATGAAATGAGCCCACACGGTTTAGATTGCTTTATTATTGCTAAATAAAACTAACAATGCCCACTTAGAATTTCTTATTGATGCAAAAAGTCCCAGAATTTTTCAAAATTGCGAGAGGCCCCACGTCCTTTTTACTTTTAGCTGAGAAACAGAAGGGCAAAACTCTTTCATCTTTTCTTAAATTAACAAACAACTTGCTTAATTAAACATCCTCTTGCAAGAAACCCCCACGAATGTTCACTTTTGCTTTTCTTTTGTCATAGAAAAGCTTTGGATTGAAGCATCATAAAGAAACATGATCCAATTATATTAATATTTATTTTAGTAAATATTAATAGGGACACTTCAACTTAAATCACATATACAAGCAAAGCTGCCCTCATGTCATGTGCATGCAACTTCCAAATCATTTGTGTTTCCTTGTGGAACTTTCATTCTAAACTTCGCCTATATCAAATTCAGAATCAAATCATAGGAATTGGGTCATCACCACAAATTACATTATTTTTCTGTTTCTATATATATATATATATTATTCATTTATTGGCAAACATAAAATTGCAGATAAAATAGCAGAGAAGAGGCAAAACTAGAAGAATAATATTATTGTACTTGCACCGATTATGTTTTTTTTTTAATAAACAATGGTAATATCACAAAACACACAAATATACTACTATAACAATGGCCTATTGGCAAGTAAACACTCATAAAAAGTTGCAGCTCCACTCGAAACCCAGTTAAATATATCACAAGACTTGGAAATTTACTGGTAACATGCAACACAGCAGAATAGTCATTTTGGACAGAAAACTCAGATGCAACACAGAAAACGTGATCACCTAGAATAGCCAGGAGGTGGATAAGCAGGAGGATAGCCTTGTGACGGAGGGGGGTAGCCTTGTGACGGAGGGGGGTAGCCTTGTGCCTGAGGAGGTGGGTAACCGTAGGGCTGTCCATATGCATCATGCGGTGGTGGATATCCAACTGTGGGAGGATATTGCTGATCAAGGCGAGACATCTGTTGAACAGGGGGTACTGCCATAGGTTGTGGACCAAACACACCATCTCTTTTGTCCAATTCAATCTTGTGTTGTGTCTGCACATAATCAAACAAAATGAAAGAAATATCACATTGAAATCATTCCATTCACAAGTATGTGAATCACTTGCATGTTGCATACCTGCATGCATGCACAAACCCTGCAAAGGAAAACATTCAGTGAATCAGTATGATATTTTGTAGCCATTTTTTGACTAAAAGCTTATAGCAGGGAGATGACAAAAACCCTTACGTGCAATAAACTAGATCAGCCAACAAATTCAAAATCTGAGAAGCTTCCCGAAGTTCATCACTTCCAACAATGCATGCAACTATGGAAAATATGCATGCAACTTGTTGAAGGCATATCATAAACCCCTGTTTATCAACAAATAAACATGATTAACAAATGGTAAATAAGTGCATATATAATTACAGATCGAGAGATATTTACGACAGTACAATAATAAAATTATCGCAGCGAGTTGTCTGGATGTTGAATTCATCTTGCAACAGAAAGCGAGTAGAGGCCACTGAATTTCCAAAGCAACAGAAAACCTGGAAATTAGCAGAATTTAAAAGTAATTAATGATTGAAAGAAAAGCGTTTACAATTGCCATGTCAGTTTATAATGAATTAATTTCACATCAAAGCATGTTAAGTTCATCATTTCATTGAATAGTGACGACATAGGAGAAGGCATTCTATGAATACTGAACAAACAAAAGCTAAGTTCTCCTTTTTGAAATAGAAGCTATAAGAAAAAAATGTAGGCATATCTTGTGGCCACAAATTCCATAGTTGTGTTTTAACCAAGAAGACGAGAACATAGACCATGAAAAACAAAGCAACGGCATTGACAAACAAAACCGATACCTCAGTGCCAAGGCAAACTTCGGGACAAGAACTTTCATAACACCTGCCGCTGCAGGGCATATAACCAGCACAACAGACATACCTATGAAAAACAAGATGAAACTACAATTACACCAAAATATTACATATTAAAACAGCTCAGATCAGAGTTAAACAGAATCAGAAGTACCTGGACATGTCATTGTAAAGTGCTCGTTTCCGAAGTATGTAAGATACACATGGGGGACTACAATAAACAAAGGCGAACCAGATGCATTGCATTGCGATGCAAAGAAGCAAACATTTTATAATTAAATATCTCATAAATTCAAAAAGTAAATAAACCAGATCAGCAAAAATCAGAAAATAAAAAATTATTGCAGAATGAACTAATTCATTCCCCAGGAAAGAGAGGTAAAGATGAAAGTGAAAAATGGAAACTCAAGAAAGAATTAAGAGCAGTTAATTTAACAGTATGTCAAGACAAATACATTAATACAATTGCAAGGTTCAGTATGGAATATATAACAAGTTATACTAAACAGAGTAGAACAAGCTAAACCTAACAGTACATGCATAATTCAGGAACTGTTTATAGGGTTAAAAAAAAACAACTGTTTTTCCTCAGGCCTGCTAAATTGCTAATGTATAATATTTCAAACAATAATGTTAATGATGATTTCACAACATCTCTAGAACGATGAGATACGTGAATAACTTGTCAAATCAACTGCCACACGAGTGAGATAGAAAAATTGAGATCCTAACTTTATAAGCATTACCCTGTTTCAAATACTGCAACATTTTTTATAAGAAACAAAATGGACATGATATATAATTAACTATTACGTTTCAAGTTAAGAATAGGTTAAAGAAATTTAACCTAAATTAGCAAATTTAATAACCACAAATTATAATTTTATCAAACAAAGTAAACCCTAGAATATAACAAAATTCAGCTGATAATTAACAGATCCATAACCGCAATTAATAATAATAAAAAATGAAGATCTAAAATTCTCACCAGAGAACCGCAAAGCAGCAATCTGCACATTAACACAAGCACCAAACAATAAATTAGGGGAAAAAAAATTACCCTAAAACAGAAACACGGACATTAAAAAAAAATAGAAAACATACAAGGAGTGTCTTTTTTAATGGAACCCAAGAGGTCACTGTGCCACAAGTTTTGGTAGCTTCGACGGAGCTGCATCTTCTCCATAGCAGCAGCGGACGCCATTTTCACCGTCTGATCTGGCGAGATTCAAACTCCGGCACACTAACACTTCGGCTGATTTTGATTAGATTGAAGATCCGGTGTGCGATTTGAGGTTTGAAATAAAAAAAAAAAAAAAAAAAAATCAGAAAGTAGGTCTGTCGTCTGTGCAGACGTAAGTCCCTCGATTTAAAAACAGTCCATATGGAAAGTCGTCTGAAGAAGACTACGAGGCTAATTTTACAGCACTGGCCGCTTCAAATTTGGAAAATGTTTTCATCGTGTCGCGTTTCTGTTGGGGTTTCTAGTTGCTGGGCTGGCATTGACCTGGTCAACGATTTAAAATATTTTAGAATACGGTTATACTTCCAAGGAGGAAATACAAATAGCAATTTCCCTGGTAATTTGGGCTCCGTTTGGTTCACAATTTTGTGTTTTTAGAAAAAAAAATTTAAAAAAAGTTAAAAAAAAAGTTGAATTGGGCGAGTATTAGGATGTAGGATTTACAAATTGTAAAATGCCCCCTATGTTTGTTTTTTTACAAAACACCCCTTATAATAAAATATTAAAAGTTAACAAAAACACCCCCAATCCACCCTCAAATACGGACAGCCGGCCACCACCGCCGGAGGGTGGCCGGAGTTGCCGTAACAAAAACATTAAAAATATTTAGGGGTATTTCATTGAATTAACAAATTTAGGGGGTTTAAAAAATATTGAATAAAGTTGAATAATATTGTGAGTTTTTGGGTATTTTACTGTTTAACTTTTTTGGGAATACTAAAAGTAGTATTCCCAAAATCCAACCAAACGAAGCCTTGATTTTGATTTCTCCACCGTGGAAACACGCTTGGCTGACGTGTAACGATTGAATTTCTATAGGATGATTTTTATTCACGCTATTTCATCGTTTCTTTTCGGTAAGGTTTTAAAACCCGACCCGAGGACAACCCAACCAAGCCACCTGGTCATGGGTTTAACGGGTCGAACGGTCTGATTGGTGGGTCAGGCCATGATGTCAGCATGATGATATTAGCATAACATTAGCAAAAAAACAAAAAAACAAAAATAAAATTACAGATTTTGATTTTGATTTTTAACATCATTAATCAAAGTTTCCCTGTAACAAATATATTTAAATCTGAAATACAAGTTATAAAGTATAAACTATAAACTATAAAGTAACAACTAACAAGTAGTTTAAAATTAAATTAAAATAACATAATCAAAATGAAACCGACATCCTGCATTTTTATTACACTTCTAATTAATTCGAGTCAAGACTGACTTCGGACACCAGATTCAGAATCAAAATTACTTATATCAAGATCATCTTTGTCGTTGTCCTCGTCATTATCATCATCAGCAGAACTAGCATCTACAAAAAATTACAAGCAAAAATAAAGTTATTAGTTAAAGTATTCCTAGATGAAAGATTGGACTATTATAAGAAAAGAAAAAGGAAGCAAAAACGATATATATATAGTTTGTTACATTGTCCCCCTCAAGTATCATTAAAGAACAATTTACACATAGTATCTAAAATAACAATTTATCCTTTATAATCAGTATTCCAGTAAAATGACGAAAACCTATGTGACTAACAGCTAAACAGATCAGTAATCAGAGAGGAATTGAATATAGCAATTTTATTTTTTCCTGTGTCCATTCTATATTTTCAATACATTGAAGTAAAACTAAATACTTCTATAAATTGGCCTTCTCGTTCTCCATTTGCACCAAAAACTATGACCCAACCCAAATTTTAAGAACAAGCTAAGGCACAAGGCATTTGGATTGGCATTTTGTGTTAAATAAAGCCTGTCAATCAACTCACTCAACAGTCATTCGGCCAGGCATTTTGTGTTAAATAAATTTATTAGTTAAATGTTTTGATTGTAAACTAAATGGACTAATGTAATATAAAATTTAACAAACTAAATTAAATAATGTAAGTTAAATTAAATAACATAAATGAAAGTTATTAGTTAGAAGTTAGAACCTCCAGCAGCTTCTGTAGAATCATAATAGGTAGGGTGATCACTAGGACCAATAGGAATAGATTCATCTCCGTAAAGTGTTTGTTCCAATTCCTCATAATTAAGGTTAGCATCCTCCTCTTCATCATCAACCACCTTGTTGATGCTCTCATAATCAATAGTATCGAAACTAGTTTTCTTGTAACTCATCCTGGAATACCATTTTTAACTATTAAAATTTAAAAGCATGACAAAGAAAATAAGAATAATGAGGAAATGAGTACAGCGTAATCAACAATGTTTTATACTTGTTTTTCAACCGCAAGTTATAATGAACAAATACAAGATCATTTAATTGTTGATGCTCCAATCTATTCCTCGTTTTTAATGTATGCACTAAAAAACACTCCAATTTCGCTCACACCCGGAAGAGGTTGAAGTCTGGCTGAGAATTTTGATTACAAACTTTTGTAAATTTGGAGTACTATACCCATATGTTCTCCACCATTCATCTAATTAAAAATTAGACACAAGAAAAAACTTTAATTCATAATGTGGAAATCAAACTTAAAACTCACAAATTAAATAACTATTACATAATACATACTGGTCGTGTGGTTTTGCATGTTAGAATTGCAAGTTCCCAAGAAAAGCTCCCCCTAGCGGTCTCGAAATATTCTACTCTCCTCCACCAATGCAATCTTGTTTAATTTAAACGCACTTGCCTTACTCTCAACAACATCAAGAAAACCACATTGAACCTCCGGTTTGGAGCTAAATCCACTATCATACTGGAAAGTTGGATTTAAAAAGTAAGCTGCAGCATGAATATCACGACGTAACATCCTATCCCATCGCAGCTTAATAATGTTTGTATAAGGCTTGTACAATCTCTTCTTATTCTTAAACAACTTCTTGATCCCAACCTCGTTCTGTACATGTCATCATACACATATCCAATGGAAGGTCTCTCATCTGAGTCTACAATCCATAGCATACACATTAATGGATCCACAACTTTGGAAACTGTACACATTGCATCCTAGAATTCATTGTCTAGAATTATGGAAATAACTTCCTTGCCTTTATGTCTTTTTGCATACCTAGAATCCACAAAGAATCTATCTATCACCATGGCTTGCAAGTCATGTTTGTGATCCTATAGACTTCTCAAGGCAATGAAAGTTGTAGCAAAACGAGTTGCTCCTGGGCGTACAATTTCCGTCCAACCCTGTTCAAGTGATAGAAGACAAATATACATGTTAGTACAATTGTTTTCCAAATAATAATTAATATGTTATGACTTATAACTTCATAATAAAATAAGCTGAAGATACACTACCTGTCTTTTCCTCAACCATGCTATCAACAATGTATGATTATACACAAACTTTGTCACCTCAGATGCACGTTTCGCAAGAGTGGCTATGTGATTCATCTCAGCCATATCCTTTAACATCAAGTTTGTGCAATGTGCTGCACAAGGCGACCAAGTTATATTCTTATATTTCTTAGCCAACATTCTTCCCAAAGCTTTATAATTTACTTCATTGTTAGTGACAAGATAGACAATGTTATTTGGTCCAACCCATACAACCACTTCCTCAAGTAAGGCGAACAATGTCTCGACATCCTTCACAACATTTGAAGCATCCACTGATTTCACAAAGGAAACTCCTTTAAGGCAGTACACAAGAAAATTAATCAATGACCTTTGGCAAGTATTAGTCCAACCATCTGCCATTAACTTACATCCAATGTCTTCCCATGTTTTCCTATAACTGTCCAAAAGTAGCTGCACTTCCTTTTTAGCATCTCTTAATAAATTGACTCGCATAAGATGATAAGTTGGGTGTTTATACCCAGGACCTATTGCAGCTATAGCATCCACCAATGGCTGAAGATAAATTGAATTTATTGCATTGATAAGGAAGCAAGCATCATAAAAAAAAAACCTTGCAAAGGCCATATCAACTCTCAACATAGCATCTTTCCCAGCCAAAACACTCTTAATTGAGGGCTGAGACCCAGGAGTAGTCCTTGGAGCAAAGTAGTTACTAAACACAACTGGTTTATATCTATTAGCATTGGGGATTATACGTGGTTTTTTTCTAACAGAACCACCTTCATTCACAACCATTTCTGATGGATGCAACTCTTGACAATCTTCACCCAACATGTCGCCCTCGAATCCATGAACACTGGCACCATAAGGATGTGTATGCTTACGAGTCTCTGTTTTTTGGGTATTCTTTAACCTAACATCGTTTAGTGCCTCTTTCATCTAAAATTGAGCATCAAAAGGAACCCTAGAACACATTCCAACTTCCTCATTTACTCCTGCTAGATGGAGTTTCATACGATAAATACCTCCCCCTCTAATCACCTTTGAACAATATATACATTTTAATGTCTTCCTTCCATTTTCATCAATGCCCTCAACAACATGTCCCCATGCTATATCACTCCTTCCTCGATAAGATTGTGAGGAAGTACCCACAGAAGAAGATTGTTGCCCAGACCTAGATGATGACATTCTCAATTTTCGTCTATTCCCTGGCAACCAATAACAACAAAGATAAATGTTAGCACTTATCTTATACTCTTTAAGCAATGAATTAAAAAATTACAAATAAATTTGGGACATGGCATATATGAGAAATAGCACACTGCAATGTGAAAAATTGCAGTATGTGAATTTGCACACTGTAGAGTGCAAATGCACGCTAAATCGCACACTGCAGTGTGCATTTGCAAACTCAGTGTGCAAAAACAGAGTGTCAAAATGCACACTGCCGTCCATTTTTGCACATTGCACACATGACACAACTAATCAAACCAACCATTTTTACACACTTCAATTTTGAAACACAACCAATCTTACACCAAACAATCAACTCTTCAATATCAAGTTTCAAACCCACTTCTTTAATATCAAACAATCTCTATGACTCTATCTCAAACAATCTCATAGCAAAACAAAAATCAAAGTTACAAAGAACAATAACAATAACAAGTTAACAACAATGAAATACACATACCTTATGGGAGCTGTGGAAG